TGGAGGTCATCTGGTCCAACCCCCTGTTTGGAGCAGGCCACCTTTGAATTTGGCTCAGGTCAGTGAGTTTTGAGTAACTCCAAAGTTGGAGATTCCACAGCCCTTCTGGGCTCCAGAGGAGCAGGTTTTCACTATTTAAGGAGAGTCTCCAGTTTTGAAACTTGTGTTTATTGCCTCTTCTCCCATCAATATCTAGCTCCAGGAAGGACTCTAGTTTTGTCTTCTCTGTAACCTACTATGAGGTATGGAAAGACTTTTAAGACCTTTCTTCTAGCCTTTTCTTTGTGAGACTCAGTTGATGCAGTGCTTTCTGTTTTTCCTTGTGCATTGTGGGCTCCAGCCCCAGACCATCTTAGCGTCCATCCACTGGAACTGTTTCAGTGTGTCAGTGTCTTTCTTGTACTGGAGAACCCCAGACTGAACACCAGTGTTCCAGGTGTGGTCTCACAAGTGTCAAATAGAGGGAAATGATCCCCTCCCTTGACCTACTAGCTGCACATGCTGTGCTGTAGTCAGCATGCAGTTGGGTTTCATTGCTGCAGAGACATGCTGCTGACTCCTGTAGCACGTTCACCAGGACCATGGAGTCCTGTTCTGCAGACCCAGCCAGTCTGTCCACAGTACCAGTGCATGGGGATTATTTTGTACCAGGTTCATGACTTTGCAGTTGTATTTATTGAACTTCATAATGTTCCCACCAGCCCATTTTTTCTGCCTGTGTGTCAGTGACATGTGAGAGTGAGGTTGGTGCAGCTCTATCTATATAGCAAAAATCTTCATGGAGTCAGGACCCTCTGGATGACCAGAGCAGATGTTGAACTTGGATCAGATGTTTTCACCTCTAGTTTGAACGCATGGCAGCATTCAGAGGTCCTTGCTCTAGATGTATAAATGCCTCAGGACCAAAGGGTGATTTTTAAAGGCTTTTTTCTCTCCATGCATTTTTCAAGAAATGTTCAAGGTGTACTGTAAGAGAATGAGTATTTCAGGCATTTCTTCCGGTTCTGTCCTGTGTGATCAGTAAATCACATGGGCTACCAGGAGTTTGTTCTCCGTTTGCTAATTCATGTAGATTTCACTAAGCATTTTCATGTTTCTTAATTAGCTTAATTATTTAATAAAAGTTGCGGTATAGAGCAAATTCTGATCTGAGTGGTTTTAAGCAATGGGATGAGTCTGGATTTGTGTTTAGCAAAACTGCTTGGTGCTTTAGTTGCCCCTGAATATAACAGAGATTAGCATTCATCACAACTTGTGTCTCAAGCCATGTGCAGGTGTAAGCTCCAGAGGCTCTTGGTGGTGTCACTGACTGTCACTGTACATGGGAGAAGCTGAGACAGAAAGCAAATGCTGCCTGCCTGTGGCCACAGGGGAGTTGTGGGTCTCGCATCACACAGGTCATTTATGCCTTTATCATCAGATCCAGCAGAGCTGCCCACTTGCTAAATCTTATAGTATCAACACTTAAAACAAGTGATTAAAGAAGGATTAATGTCATTACGTGGTGTGGTTAGAGACTGTGGCCAGAAAATCAGTGAACTGTAGAACTTACTTATATAATTTCCATGCATACCTGTTCTCTGTTTAATTTGTGCTCAGCTCTCAAAGCCCTAGGAATATTATAGACAGTCCAGGTTTCCTTACAAGGATGTTTACTTTATTCAGCTCCTTATTGGATAGGTATTTTATGTCCTTAGCAGTGGAAAATACAAGCTGAAACCTCTCTTTCTCAGCTGAATAAGATGGTATGACGATTACCTGTGGCCTGATAAGGTCTTTGAATAAAGATGTAGCCAACTGCTGTTTCAAACACTCAGAGTAGTAATTATTTTACTTACAGGCCACTTTTAAAGTTGAGCAAATGCTGTGTTGTGCTCTTTCACAATGTATAAAGAAGTCTTTGCACTCCTCTAGATTTAGCTTTAGCTTTTTCTGCCTTGATTACACCCATAGTGGAGGGTATTTAGCAGTCATTTGTGTCTAAGAGGCAGCCAGTCTGGGAATTCATCTTTGTAACATCTCTATCACCAGCTCTGATGCTCATTCCACTGACTGATGATTTCTGGCAAATTATTGGGTCTGGGTAAAAGTTAACTTGAAAAGACTAATTTTCGGATCTAGTCTGTCTCATCAAGTAACTGCATGAGCATTGGAGCCAATGGAAAGGAAGGAGAAGACTAGGGAACAAAAAGCAGCATTTTAGAGGCAGCCTGTTTTGATTGACTTAAATTCATCAGACTCCCAACAAACTGGTGAGTTCCATCAAAGTCCAGAACAGAAAAATTTGATGGTCAAGAGGGAAGAAAGGTTAGTGTCAGCCTGTGTTTGCGTAATTTATCTGTTTTCAAGTGATAAGCTCTCTGCAACATGTAGTTTTAATAATGAAGGTAGAACTGAACATTGATGCTACCCACCAAGGTCCAATGACTGTGACCAGTTTCAATGGTCACTACTTTGGGTGATAAGTAAAAAACCGTAAAAATCAGAGATTATGGCAGAGCCAGAAAAAAATGATTCTAGCCTTTTTTTTCATTATAAAAAGTGGAAAATGCCTGATACCTCTCTATCACTTTGCAAAAGAGAGCAGTAGGTGGTACAGATTTAAGTCACTCGTCTCACATTAGGTACTGTCGCTCAGATCAGTGCTGCAGCTGCTCAGCTGGGGAGACCATAGCATATTTTAGTTGTGAATTCTTGTTGGGGACCACTTTGATGGAAAGGGCATTTTAACTGGTTTTGTGGACAAAAGTCATGCACAACTTCCCATGATATTGCAGCCCCTCAGGTCCTTTCCCAAACCTATTTTCATAAATCTCTCTTATTGCTTGACTGTGTCCAGGGCTCCACTGTTAGAAAGACTTCTTCTCAAAATTCAAAATTTCATTACCTAGTTCAGCATTATTGTAGACAGTGCAGAAGTGGAGGAAAAGGCTGGAATTTGATGATTATGAGCAAAGTTGAAACACCGAGTTCATAGCTGTGACTTTTGGGGGTTTTGTTTGGTTGGACTGGGTTTTTAATTCGACCCACTTGTCACTTCCTAATGTGTGAGAATGATGAATTAGTATATGAATGAGCGCATGCTAATGAGCTGTTCTGGTCTGTGATAGAAATGGTTCTTGAAGGAGCCTTTTGTCACGAAAGCAGATATACTAATACCTGAGCAGGCACTGGGGAATAAATTACAATATTTGTTTTGTCTGTGTAGTACTTTTTGTGCTGCAGTTCTTATTGAACATTGTTATGTTGAAAGGATATAATTGAAGTCATATATTGCAAGGGAACTGCAATAATAATAGTACTTAAATCTTTCATGTTTTTATGAAGTCACTTTTTTTTAAACACTGTTCATTGAGTGGTAAAAATAGCTGCAAATCTTGCAAGGAATGGAAGGAAATTAAACCTGTAAAACCTGGCACAGCGTAAGACTTTCAGTACAAGTGAATGTTGATATCTTAAAATCACAAATCATCTTTCTATTAATTCACTGTAGAATAAGGTCTCCTCAAGATAAGTCTCAGCAGTGCTGTGGAGTTGGTATTTAAAGTATGTCCATCTGCATCTAAACGAGTAGCTCCAAGACAATCAGATTATGCAGTAGTTACTTTGGTGAGAATATCGCCTAAGTGGAATGGAAACTTCATTTTGAGTCTAATATTAGACCCTGCTTTGGAAAATTCCTTTTAAATGATCACAAGCTGGGAATAGCAAAAGAATTTAACTTTTGACAGACAGCATTCACCAAGAATTTGTTTTTAACTGCTTATGTTGGGTCCCTGGGAAAGCAGATGTGAAAAACTTACCAAAGTGAATTGACTTGACCTGATGCAATGTTTATATCAGTAGTTGATAAGTTTTCCTCCCTTGTCTAATTTGTTCGGGATATTTTCATTCTTTAAGCATGAGTAAGTCTGGGTGGAATAGTTTAAATGCTTGTTAGTCTAATAATCTGAATCTTAAAACATGAAGACATTATTGCCTATAAAGGGGTCTAAGCAAAGCTGAACTATTTTGGTTGTCTTCCATGGTTGGGACTAAGTGTTGTTTCTGAGGCCAGCAAAGAAGAACGTGAGACAGTGTTGTTCACCTCCTGATGGTTCAGAAAGCACATTAGTATCTGCTGTATTTGTACTTCAGAGTGCCACTTGCATTTGGTGAACCCTTTGAATGCGTGTGACTCCTTACACAGCTTTACAAAGAACTGGCTTCCAGTGGCAGCTGGGGAAACTGGAACCAAGGGTATCAAACCAAATTTGAAGGGTCGTGATGATGATGCTATTTTTATTAGTATTAATACTATCATCATCATTCCTGTGGCAGAAAGGACTTTAGGGAATCAGTGCAGATGATGCACAGCTCAGGGATCTTTGGAGCTGCTCGCTTTTCTCTTTGTTGATCAGATACTGTCACTTTGAATATTTTAATTAATTAATTCCTAATTAAGGTGTGTGTCCCCCATACGGAGAATATATGAATAAATTATTTTTGAGGAGGGGAGGAGAAAAGAGAAACTGATGGATTGGACTGACCTCTTCTCCCCAGCTCTGCCCTGTCCCTTTGCTTCTGCAGTTTGGTCATTGTCGCTGTTGTCTCCATGCTTGAGGAAAACTTCCACGGGAGCTCAGTGCAGAGCAGGACTCCCACCTGGCCTTCCTGTGCCAACACATGAGGCAAGAAGCAGAACAACTGCCAACCAGATAATGCACTGAATTCAACGCCATGGTGGCAGTTTAACTGGGAAGACACTAGAACAAGACCACTGATCTCTAGTTGTTCTCTTTTAGTACATTAGGTAGATTTATGTGACCTAGGAATGTGTTTCTCAGACAGAAATCAGATTATGATTTTAAGCATCTGTTAAACTTTGCCCCTTTTTTCATGAAGCCTGACACCATCCTTTTTGTCTTGTCATTTGTACCTCTGTGTCTGTAGTTCTGCTGTAATTTCTGATTGTTCAGGAATTTCTGAAATGTCTAAATTGCTGATCTGTCTTCTTGCAGGCAAGTCTCACCTGGCTATAGTACAAAGAGTAAACAATGAAGGAGAAGGGGATCCTTTTTATGAAGTCCTGGGAATTGTCACTTTAGAAGATGTGATTGAAGAGATCATCAAGTCTGAAATTCTGGATGAAACAGATCTCTACAGTGAGTAGAAATATTTGCAATTTCTTTATAGACAAGAAGGAAGGCTCCACACAGCAGCAATTGTGTTTATAGCTATGTTTTGAGAGATGTTACATTGCTGATTGAAAAATCTCTGTAGTCAAATTGTTGAGGAAGTTTCCTTAACAAAATGACCTGCAGATCTCTCAAGCAGTCAAAGTAATTTTTGAATTTGCACCATGGATACCTCACCCCTTTATGCTGTATTAATTCAGAAACGGGACAAGTGTGTTTATTTGACCCTTCCATCAAGGAGGTTTACATCTGCAGCAATCTGCTCTCTCCTGCAAGCTGTTCTCTACCACTGTGGCCTTGTTAAACCTTTCTGTTAGAGTGCTCACCTTCCCCTATCGTCCCTCTGCCTTGAGGGCCTATAGTCCATGTTCTACTATACCTTAGCAACAAGACAGGGAAATACCATGGCTCAAGGAAGAGGAATGGAGTCTTTTTAGAGTCTCTCTCTGTCACTCATTTGGAAATTCTGAGTATGCAAAGGCTTCTTCTGGGCTGAAAACCATCATGTCCTAAATGCCTTCTCTATCACTCAGTACAGCTCCTTCCTTCTTTGTGTTAATGTGGGTTGAGGGAGATGATGCTGCAGGTCACTCGTTACCTGGGACTTGAGAGATCTGGACCCTTTTCCTTCCCAATTTAGAGTTTATCTGGTCTTTGGCCAGTTAACTAAAGTGTCTCTGCTTCTCTTCCCATCTGCACAATCTGGCCTGTGCATACAGGACTTCCTTTCTGTCATTCTTCATCTCTCTTATCTGTGCTTTGATCACTTGCTGGCAAATGCTATTTTTTGCTACGTGTTCGTGTGTAGCACAAGGATGTCTCTAAATTCTACTATAGTAGTAATAATAGTTTTAAGTATGTTTAACACTGTTCATCTGCCCTTTGCTTTCTTTTTCTTTCCTCATGAAAGGGATCTGAATGTTCTTAGAGCATCTTTTTCAGGCCAATGCAAGTGTCTTCTATCTTCCCTCCAAGCCAAATACTCAATGAACACTTTACCCTGTGGGACAGACATACTTCTACTTGTTTTTGCCTGACCTGCTTTCTGTAGCTGGTCAGTATTTTGCCAGTATTTGTGCCCAAAGGTTCATATAAGTAACAGTTGTATTTTACAATATGCTGAACAGTCTAATTACTATGCAAATCACAGAAGTCCAGTTAGTGTTGATTTCTTTTCATACCTGAGTTGTTGGGCTAATCAGTTGCATCATAATGCTTTCACAGGCTGAATTCAGGCTTTCTTTTCTACTCCAAAAAGATCCTATCTGTGTCTACCTTTGAGATGTTTCTATGATTGAAGACACTGCATATGCTTTTCAGTGTTTTCTTTCCTCTTGTTTGCTAAGCGAAAACACATAGATCATGCTGTGTTGTTCCTCAGGACAAAAAAAAAAAGCTTTGACCATTAATAGCATGCTAGAGAGCAAGGAAATGAGAATTTAATTTTACTATCTGAAGGCTTCCTAGATTAACAAAAAGAGCTGGTGAACATGAGTTCACTTGAAACTCTCTTTCCTGCAAAGGTTTTACTATTGAAAATTCCTGGTTCAGAACAGGAAGGAAACTTCCTAGGCTTTCTGGAGGATGCAAGAAATTCTGCAGGGTGGCTCCTGTTATGTACCACGAAGGTGAACTTCTAATTTCTTTATGAGGCACTGGAGTTCATTCCACTGTTTAGACTGAAGGAAACTGTAGCAGTAAGGGAGAGAGCAGAAATCCCGAGAAGCTGTGAGGATCACAGAAAATGTGTCAGGTTTTGATTTGGGCAGATTGGTGTGCTGCAACCGCCTCCAATTGGTGTAGCAATGGTAACATGCTTTGGGTTTACTGAAGGTACTTTATTGTCCAGGCAGCTAATTTTTGATGTTGATATCAGTGTGTCAGTGCTAGTATCCTATCTCTGATGCTGTTTATTATTAGACCAAGCCAACTTGGAACCCTTGGATTGATTTGCTCTGTACAAGGTGTTTACTTAAAAGTAGACCTTACGGAAAATTTTGGCCGCATTGTTACACTTTGTTCTGAAGTTTTAAAAATGTTTTGTTTTGCTTTGATGGAAACTTGAAATTTGATGAAATGGTTGACCTTGGTGTTGGAGCTGTGCCTTTCTGTTGTTTCCATGAAAGTCTATTTGAACTGTGTTATGGTAGAAGCAATAGGATATTTTCAGTTTTTCCTGAAAGCTGCTCTCACTGCTGAAGCTCTGCAGCTGAATTTCTGGAGGGTTGTGTGCCAAACAAATGTGTGGTACTTCTTCAGATGGTTCTATTCTGCTATGCCTTATGGTTTGCAGAGATGTTGGAAGCAAGGAGAAGGTGGGAGGAAGAAAAATTGTTAAATATTTCTGACCTATCAGCATCTGGGTAGACTGAGTACTTCTGAACATGAGATGCTGAAGGGGTGGAGGGAGGAGGTTTCTGTCATGACAGGCTCTGACTACATCTCAGCCAGTGGCACGATGAAGAGCTGTCAATGTGTTTGGCTCTTAGTACTGGAAAGTTAGAGCATTTTTTTCATGATTGGCATACATACTACAGGAATCTGTCCTGCACTCCCATGGTTCTAGCCATGTTAGGAGAGCATTTCTCAACCCAAGAGAGAAAACTGTGCATTCTGTGTCAGCCTCAGACTGCATAGACTGCTTGTTGGCCCTTCTGGTCCAGGTTTGACTGGTGGTCTGTCTTATTTAGCTCTTTCTGCTTGAAGATGAGTTTAATCATCACCTTAGTGCAACTGGAATACTGCTGGTTTTCATGCATACATATTCAGAGATGGTTTGCCCCAAGTAAAGTCTCAGATTTTTCTGTCTGTTTGTAAACATCATCTTACTGCATTTTTACGCCCTCACCCATGTTCAGGAGTGTGTCTCTGCGAGCAGGACCCGCAGCAAGCCTGTGCTGCAGGGACATGCAGTGCCAGGCTCTGGGACCCATCTGTGGGCAGCTGCAGCACTGCAGCTCTCTTGTAGCTTTCACCTAATGATTTTATTATTTTTTTTGAACCTTGACAAGCCACTTCCCTGAGGGGAAGACCCCATCTTAGCTGAACATTCCTCTTCCCAAACAGCTGTCAAAACAGGTATGTTAAATGTATGGAATCATAGAACAGTTGGGGTTGAAAGTGACTTTTAATGATCATCTAGCTCCAACCCCTGCTGCCATGGGCACGGACATCTTCCACTAGACCAAGTTGCTCAGGGCCCCCATCCAACCTTGCCTTGAACACCTCCAGGGATGGGGAGTCCACAACCTCTCCAGTACCTGACCACCCTCACAGTGAAGAATGTCTTCCAAATATCTAATCCCTTCAACTTTAGGCCACTCCCCCATGTCCTATCACATGCCCTTGTGAAAAATCCCTCTTCAGCTTACTTGTAAGCCCCCTTTAAGTACCGGAAGGTGCAATAAGATCTTACCAGAACCTTTTCTTTTGCAGACTGAACAGCCCCACTTCTGTCAGCCTGTTGTCATAGGAGAGATGCTCCAGCGCGTGGTCATCTTAGTGGCTCTCCTCTGGACATGTTACAATACGTCCATGTCTTTCTTGTGTTGGGGGCCCCACAGTTGGACACAGTGCTCCAGGTGGGGTCTCACAAAGAGCAGAGTAGAGCAAGGAGAATCACCTCCTTCAACCTGCTCGTCACTGCTTTTGATGTGTGCTAGTAAACTCTGTATCACTTCTGCTGTTTGAACCACTGAGCTATGGGAATAAAATGTTTGCCCTATGAAGTATTTCCGTTGTCATCCGGTGGCAGTGTAGCAATGTGGAAAGTGTTGTGCAACACCGATTTGTCTGGCAAGACCTACAGCTATTGGCATGGTATGTACATCAGTATCCTGCGCCAGGAGAGCAGAGGTTTGCGTAGCAGGAATCTGATCTTTAGGCATACCAAAGTGATTGACACCTGTTAGAAAATAATGCTTTGCCATTGGGACTGTGCTGTGTTAGCAGCAGCTAACCTGCTGTCTAGCACTGGTAGGCTGAAGGAGTTGCATCCTTATGGAAAATGATGGTAGGCTGTTTAAGAGCTTCAAGTTTAGTCCCATTTACTTTCTGTCAGTTGCCAAAACATGTGATACACAAGGCAACCTGGCTTTCCCAGCTAGGGATGAAGAGAACTGGCAAAACTAACTTAGTTAATTCCTAAGGCTTTCTTCTAAAATGAAAGAAACTTGCAGGCTTAATAAGCCCTGTGCAGTGTGTGGGGCATGGGCTGTCAGCCTGCGTGTGAGCATCCCTGGGAGGATGAGGGTGAGGAGGACATGGGGTGTGCTGAGTGACTCTGGCATCCCCCTCTGGCTGCCTGCACTGGGCATCCTGGTACTGAGTATAGGCACAGGGTCGGTAAGTCTAGTCCTATGGGAACTGTATATTGTTTTCCTGGAGTGTCTGATAGATGCACATCTCGAGCAGTTGCTTGTCTCTGTCCTTGTATAGAGACTGTCTCTGTCCTTAGACAGAACCACACTTCCATTTGATAAAAGTATTTTTGTCCTCCCTGTCTGGAGCTCACTGCAGATGTCTCCTCTGTCCGAAAGACATAAAGCAGAGAGAACAAGAACTTTCTTAGAACATTACCTGTGTGCATTTGCAGTGCTAGTCAACCTGCAGCCAACCTGCCTGTCCAACTGAAGGGATGATCTGAAGTTTGAACTCCCTGTTCAGTAGCTGTCTCCAGTCCAAGCTGGCTCCTTCAAGGAAATTCATGCAATCATTTCTGGTATGATGCATCAGGTCTTTAAGTTCAGGAATATTGCAAAAGAGATCACAACCTTAATTGTATTTGGACCACTCTTCCTCATGTGTTCTCTCTCTCAGCCCAGGAGCTCATGGTCAGTCTTGTTGCCTTTGATTTGAAGGAAAAGTCTAAATATTGCCAGAACCTACTGAAGATAGTTGCAGTATTTGTTGATATCTCACCAAAAGTTATAGTGAGAATATCTCTCATGCATTGTACTGTTCATGTTGCAGAACCAAACAGTATCAGAGCACTCTGTATGTAGAGGTTACTTCAGCAAGCCAAGATAACTTCAGTGCTCGTGTCTTCATCGCACTGTAGAAAGCACACACAGGAAATACCTGGGCCAGATTCAATTACATCTGTCACAATCCAATCCTTGGTTCCTGTGTCTTACAAGAAGCTCAAAAATTGTTTGGATAGCAAAGAATAATTTAAGACCACCCCTTGCCAAGATAATGGCTTTAAGCCATGTGGCTCTGCTCTCACTGAGTAACATTTTTCTTGAGGGAAGATTTCTGGATAAGCAGCCAAGTGAAAAGTAGGAGGAATTGAAACTGCCCATCATTTGATTAAGAGCCAGGATCTATTGGCTTGATGACTGATACATACAGGAAGATTTAAGGCATCTTCCCATTATGTGATGGTGACCCTAATTTCAGGTACCAGAAGTGTAGTGTGAAGCCTGTGGTAGTACAGCTCATTCACAGGAGAAACACAGAGACGTTTCTCTGTCCCAGGGCCAAAACTTCTGCTTGTGGTGATTTTTGCCTCCCTGAAGAAAGCAATGATGGGAGCATCTTGTGAGAAAGCATCTCAGATACAGCACTTTAAAAATAACGTTCTCCGAGCTTTTCAGAAAAAGCAGAATTTCTATTCTTACGTCTTACCCGAGATAGGACCTAGTGAAAGCTTCTAGAGAGCTTTTGTCCTGTTCACTTTCTATGGCTTTTGTATCCATCTTCCTTTAACTGCAAGTGCAGATAAGGTCTGTCTCAGACTATATTCCTAAAGCAGGGATTGTTTTCAGTCTGTAGTCACTCTGTTGAGTAGTTTCTATTCCTGCTTTTGGAAGAGAAGCTGCAGTCCCTGATGTATTCCAGGTCCTGGGTAAAGTACTACTAGGGTAAGAGTCTTCTGGTTTCAAAGAAGAACAAGGGCATGGGTCATCATCATTCTTCTCTATGTGCTTGGGAGCAAGCATCTCAAATTTTCTGATTTGCACTGCTCACCAAATAAGCTTGAAATAGCTAGGTAAGTTACTATCAGTGCCGTATTGCTGTTGAGTCTGTGATAGTACTATAGTGAAGGGTTGTCCATGGGAAGTTGAGGATATCAGTGTATTCATATCTAGAAGACTAGGCGACTTGGGAAAATCTAGAAACCTGTAAATTAGCTGTATTTTGCATTTCTGAACCATTGTGAGCCTTATGTAGTCTGTCGTATATATTTGGACATGTAAAGGGCTCCAGATCTCAGTGGCTTCCTTGCTATGGTACATCACTTTAATTGCCTTTGCATGCATAACCTAAAATCTGGTAACAGGTACCTGTGAGTATGTGCAAAGTTTCACAGTCTCAGCTTCATCTACACCTCTCTGTGTGCTTGCCCAAATTCTCCGCTGTGAATCAAAGCACCAGAACTGCCTGTGGTCCCTTAGAAGTCCAGTCATTTTAAACCAATTCACTAGGGCTGATAGACAAGTGTCTGTAGTGTTCTCAGGATCTTTCCCCACTAAGGCCCTAGGACCTGAGCTGTGCCTGAGCTCCAAGGGGCTCACAGTGATTGCCTCAACACTTGAGTTTTCTGGACTATGCAGTGGAGCTCAGAGCTGTCTGACAGGAATCTGCTGCTTATAGCCACTGCCACCCTTCACACTGTGTCAGCAGAGAAGAGCAAGACAATGCCATCTGAACAGTGACCTTTTCTCCCTGGAATTGATGTATACCATACCCCAGCATACCTGTAGCTCTCCACTTACCTGATTTCCTAAACATTTTGGCAGATTGATTGAGGGGCTGGGTGCTAATGGCTGGGTTGTTTGTCTCATGTTGTCTTTCATAAATAGGGACTCCCCACCACAGAGTCTGTTTAAGACAAACAAATCAAGTGGCAAGTATTTAGCTGAGTAAAGGACAGGAGTCTAGGATCACTAGCAGGCAAATTCCCTTATCTGAACTCCTGAAGCTACTCTGTACTTTATTCTGGCTTCAGTGCCTGTAAAGCAGCCAGAGATTCCCACCTCCAGGCTGTACACATTGCCAGCCTTTGCTAAAGGCTGGACAGGACAAAAGAAACTGCATGTGCTAGACATTGGAAATTACTTCGACCAAAGGTATCCAGATTTTGCCACAGCTGTGAAGAGTCAGTGAAGCCATGGTACAGCATAAGAAATAAGTTACTGTATATTTCTTCCATGTACTTGCTGGGAATTTTCTAAGGAATGTATATGAAAAATGCAGCTATTGCAGCTATTCTTGTAAAACAACACCTTTTGATCTTTATTAGCACTGAGCAGGACTCCTCCTCCCCACCTGCAAATGCACACACACCCTAAGTGCTGTATGCAGAGCTGCTCTGCAATCAGGTGTTGGCTGAAGTGGCAGAGAAGTGACAGAGGCTGTGTGTGACTGGCTCTGCAGGACAGGGCTCAGGGCCACAGCTCACTGGCTGTTTCTGGTTTGTGCTGCGTGCTGATGAGCAGGGCTTTGCAGGGGGTCTGTCTGCACCCTGTACTCTGGGTGGCCATCCTGGCTGACTCCAGCCAGCACAGTTCATGTTGGACCCTGTTCTAACAGAAATCGCTTCCTTCCTTTCTTTTCCACCCTCCCTTCCCCAGCTGATAACAAGTCGAAAAAGAAAGTAGCTCATCGGGACAGGAAGCAGGACTTCTCTGCCTTCAAGCAGACAGACAGCGAGATGAAGGTTAAAATATCACCACAGCTCCTCCTGGCAATGCACCGGTTCCTGGCTACAGGCAAGTGCGGGTTGGGTTTTTTTTTGCGATCATGCCAGAGCCTCGGAGGCAGTTTGTCAGCAAAGGCTGGTGAGGTGGGTGGGACAGTAAGGTGGGAAGGGAGGCTGGATTGTGGGGTGACAAATAATGCCACTGTTGTGTTTTTCTTTTTAAATTCTCTCCTCTCCTGTGTTCAGTGTCGGCATGAACCCTCTGAGACATATACCAGGGGTGGACCAGTAACTTTAAATTGGTCTGAAAGGTAAGGATGAATGCCAAGTGCCGCACTGCATGTCTAGAGTCCGTCAGATTAACGACTAGCAAGTACACCCCATTAGGAAGAGCTCAGGGAGCAAACAAAGAGGACTCGATACCACTGGCCAGCTGACTGTAATTGCACTCTGGCGCCTTCTCCAGAAAGAGATGCTGGACTTTTTGCAGGAAGGTCTAAACCTGTTCCATGAGACTTTTTGACTCCAAGTGAAAAACTCTCCCAACACATTTAATGCAGACCACACAGGTGGTTGAACTGTACTCTTTAAAATGGATTTCTGTCTGGCTTGTGTGATCTCCGTTGATGACTTCCATCCCAGAACACCTTGATGTTTTAGCCCTTGGGTGGGCAGTCTGGCAGAGAGGCCAGGGCCTTGAATGGTTTCTTGCAGCTGATACTGCCTTTCGTCGTAAAGTTGGTCCCTTCACCTCAGAGATGAGACCTTTTAACAGGAGAGCTTGTGGAAAAGTACCTTCCTATTGCTCGTGCTGTCTCTCTTTGACATATAAGGACTTCTCACATGCAGGCCTTTCAGACGGGCATCTTTCACTGCTGTCTTCAACATATATTGACAGGTGGAAAGTTGTAACGTTTTGTCTCAAGTTTGCCAGCTCCAGTTGGAAATTAGTACTTCCCCTCCTCTAAGATGCAGTAACTGCCTGCCTAGAAGCTCCTAGTCTGCCTTCATGCTTTATTTTGCCTCTGTGACTCGAAAGAAACGTGTACATGATCGGTTATCACATCTCAGCTGAGGGGCAGTAATACCTTAAAAGGCTCGGACTCCTACGGCTCATGGGCACATGGGCGTGTCCTTGGTGAAAGGAAGCAGTTCAACAGGAAGATGCGGATTTAACAGCAAGCAAGGCATTGTTCATGTAGTGTACAAGACTTGATGGAGTTCCCTAAACACCTGCTCAACAGACATAGTCTTACAGTGCTGCTTCTCTACTTGTTTTGTGGATGAAAGGATTGTGTAGCTTAAATCCAGGTCTGTCTATGAAGCCACTGCTAAATAAGATAAAAGCTACAGTTTGGTTTCTCTGTTCTAAATTAAGAATAGTGTCTTTAGCAGATGACAGGTACTGGGTCATTAACAGTCCTGTTCTGAGATGACATGTTGGGAAAGCTTATCAATTTGCTTGTGCAAATCTCGTCGTCCCTGGCTTAACTCTCCCTCACAAGGATGAGCTTTTCCACTTCAAGCAGCTCCTGTTTGGAACACTGAAGATCAAGTGGATAGGGAATGTGTTCTGTGTGTCAGGCATTAATCTCACATGGTTTGAACTGACCTGCACTCTCTCTCACTTTGAGTAACTCTTCCCATATGAATTGTGGCAGCCCCAATTGTGTCTGATTTATGTAGAGCATCTATCTAGAGCAACTCTCTAGGCCCTAAGCAATGTTTTTTTAAAATATTTTATTTAAGTGCAATAAATGCAGTGACTTTAATACTTTTTAGGAAAGAAGAAAGCAAATTCAAAGGTTCTCTGTGTCCCAGTTGTAAAGCTCTGTACAACTCTGCAATGATCCATTACAGCTGTGACTCTGAACTCTCAAGAGGGCAAGACAATCTTTTTCTTTTCCCTTTCAGATGAAGACATGGGTTTTGGTTGTTTTAAAAAACACTTCAGTAATGAAAATTGGGGTGTTACTGTGGTTTTTTCCCCCCTTACAAATCTAACAGTCTCAAAAGACAGGAAGCCTGCAATTCCATAATGGATCTCTCTGCATCTGTGTGTCTTTTATAGGCAAATGCTTATTAACGAGTATTGCTAACTTCTTGCCAGGCATATGAGGTGTAATGCCAAGTTGTATCTTGTGTTATAGAAGTAGAAGCATTTGGTCCATCCCAGATGTCAGAGAAGATCCTTCTCAGGCTGCTAAAACATCCCAACGTCATCCAGGAGCTGAAGTACGATGAGAAGAACAAGAAGGCCCCAGAACACTACCTCTACCAGCGCAATAAGCCTGTCGACTACTTTGTTCTCATTTTACAGGTCAGATATGTGATTATGTAAATATGTGCAAAACGCTCTATCTCCTGGCATATCCCTCTCTATACCTCTTCCGGTTGTTGAAGTTTGTATTCTTTCAAACATGGGAAGGGAACTATGTCTCCTGGGAACTGATCCTGCCTCCTTTATGACTTTGCCAACCTCGAAGAGCTCACTCAGCTGCATTCAGCCTCAGTTAAACCAGTTGTGAAGGATAGAAAGCACTTCCTACTTCCAGTCGTCTGGTGAAAATTCCTCATGCTTTTGGTATCGCTAGGATAGACAAATGCAAAGGAATCCCTGCGTGCAGCTGGCGTTGCTTGGAAAATAGGGGTGCAAACAATGGCGTGTCGTAGGAGTTTGGCCAGGATGCTTTCTCTACTGTGCTTTTTCCTTTTGTAAAAGGAGGCCTGAGGAGTTCGACAGTTTAGGGAAATGACATTTTTCTGTGCAGTTTTGAAGTCTGTACCTGAGGTCTTGTGTGAAACAGAGGTTTCAGTAGAGGCCTTGTGCCATCTACTGAACTGGTGCCACCTCCTGCCACAGGCCCTGCATTCCCAGGGACCTCGAAGTCCCTGGGAACGCTGCCATCCAGGCCCTTACCCTACCTTGACATCCCTGCATTTGTGTGGCTTTAAGATTGGAGCCCTAGATGGTGTGGAAGGACTGTTTTCTGTATGTTTTGTACAGGATTGCTTCCAGTGCTGGTATCTCCCAGGTTTTGTTACCTGTCAGGAATGGTTTAGATAAAGCTTTACACAGAAACTTAGCTTCCATTTGAGCAGGAGTAAGTCCTTTAAGAGAGATTTTGCTGGAAAGGAGCTTATGTGTCTGTCCTGCATAACTGAAAATCAATTTTGGTTATAAAAACAGTGTAGTTAAAGTGTTAACACGGGGGCTTGAAATCTTAACGTGGCCTTAAAAAAAGAAACCGAGGCTATGTTTTACACACTGACAGTGATCATCAATAAAACACTGGGATATTATATTGTGGATTCAACACATCAGTTTTTTCAAGAGTTCAAGGAGCCGCTGGTAGCTCTTTAACTGCTCTTTCTTAAGTGCTGAACTGTAGCAATCTGAAATATTTCAGAGGCAAGATAATGCTCTTGAATGACATAATGCTGCAAAGATGTAAATGGAGGACACGGGCAATACAGAAGAACAATCAGTTCTTTGTGAGCTATCCTGCAGTCAATAAATAGCAAACACAACATGCCAGGTCTATAATGCATTTGGAAGAGTGAGTGTTCCAGTAGGTGCTATAAAAACGGTAACAAGGTTGGTTCTGCCAGGATCAAGAGGGGATAAATACTCTGCTTTTGTTATTTAAATGGACTTGGACTTACTCTTTCACACTGAGGGACCAAGAATGCCTTCAGTAAACACATACCACACAATTAAATGTATATTCTTCTTGTGTATAAACCAGTCCTTGCCTGCATGACAAAATCATAACCTTTTGGAAGGCTTATATTGATGAATTAAGCTACTTATTTGTGTTATGGAGTGAAATTGGTTTTAAAAGGGATTATATGAAGTTGTTGCTTGTGATAGCAGGAAGGTGGATTTGTGAGCTGGGCACTCTCTTCCTGCTAGGCAGATTTTGTGGTTTTTCTCATCTGGAACATTTAGACAAACTGACCTGGTATCAGGACTCATGAAGGTTGGTTTCTTGGTCACCTTTTTCTACCCCAGCCCCAGTAAAATTAAAGGTGTGATTATTTATTTAAGTGGGGCTTTATGAAAGAAACAGAAAGAGATTAAGTTCTACCTTTTGAAATCATTTTGACCCAGTTGTGTACAGGTGATGTTCAGTTGTCTTAGCACACCTGGGATTGGCAGTCTGTCTGCCCTTTCCAGCCTAGCCAGAGAGAAAGCATTGCAGGTAATTATGTTGCTTGCCTGGAATTCTGACTTGTGTACTTCAGCCTGAAAGCTGCATAAGATTTCTTCTGTCTGCAGTGGTGTGCTGTGAGTCTCGGTGCAGTACCAGTAAGGATGGATGGACATGAAAACCAGGCCCCACTAACAAGCCAGTTATTTTTGGCTGCTTGTATACCAGAGTAGCTGGGATGCTTACAGCTATGTTTGCCATGGCAGGTTCTGTTCTGGAGTCCTGTGTATGACATGGTGTTAAGCATTTGGTTCAGCCCACATCAGAAACAGGGGCACTTGCATGTCGGTCTAGTTTTGTACAGCTTGGGAAGCACTGAGGGTACTTTGTAGGCAAGACTCTGAAAAGAGCAGGAAGTAAAGGGTGCTGGAATGTGTAAAACTGCTAGAAACCAGGAAAATGAAAGTAGCCCCAAGGTTGCTCTTTAAGGAATAAGGGCTTTGTGGGAATCTCGTTGGTGAGGGTAGGCAGGCTCCTCACGTGTTGCCTTCCATCTCTCTTTCCTATGTTTGTCTTAGAGGGGACTCTGTGTGAAGGTGAGATGTGGCCCAGAATGTCTGGATGTTGAAAGATCCCAGATGACTGTGCTATGTATTGTTGTGCTGTTGGGGCAGTATTTTTTCACTGCATCAAGGGAAAGCAGTCTGTGGGTGCTTGGAGCAGGGCAGTAGTACCAACCCGAAGCACTGTGGTGATCCTGCTCCTCTGCAGGGACTTACACTGGCCACAGGGCACCAGAGAACAGAGTAGGTCAGGGCACAAGAGCCTGTTGCCCTTTAGGGTCTGTCCTCTTCAGGCACCATTACGAACTGCAGGGACCATGACACTGCTTAAGGATGTCAGGCAAAACTATCTTTCAGGGCTCAAGTCTGGTCTTGTGCCTCGAGACCTATTGGTCCCTTTTAATTGCAGCTCTCTCTCCTTTTCCTTAACAGGGGAAAGTGGAAGTGGAGGCTGGGAAAGAGGGGATGAAGTTTGAAGCTGGTGCTTTTTCCTACTATGGGGTGATGGCCCTCACAGCATCACCAGGTATGTCATCTTACCTTCTACTTCTAGAACATGCTCCTGTACGAGCCTGCCCCACCGTGTCTGTGGGGCTGGCGTGGATGGGACCTCCTCTCCAGGGAATCTCTCTGCCTGGCAGTGTCCCGGCCAGGGGCGATGCTCGCACAGACTCCAGAACCCAGAACTCCAGTCTCCAGAACCTGGCTGGGTTCGCCAGCTCCCGGAGGATATGAGTGTTGCCCTTAGTGAGGGATGTGGATGGTCCTGGTTGGTACTGGTGGAAAGCTTTTTAGCTTTGCTCGTAGTAAAGTAACAGGGAGTGATTTAACGGGAATTAATAATTAGTGGCAGAGGGACATCTAGTGGTGCGAGGAACAAGTGCCCGGTTAGTTCGGGGTTGGTTCTCTTCTAGGCTTGTTTCTAAGGCTGTCTTGAGGAAAACGAGGGCAGAAAAGCCATTGCTCCTGTCAACTTGTGTGGAAATGTAACCAAGAGATCAGCAAGAGGGAAGAGGTGGTGTCTGAGGGTGAGGTCTGAGCCAGCTCCCAGCACACAAGTGGTAGCCCTGTGAGCCACCACCTCACCAGCACAGGTTGGGGAATTGTCGTAGAATCCAAGAGTATGTTCCAATGCTGTATTCCAGCATTTGGTGGTGTATTTTAATGTCAGAAGTGTCACCACTGAGATCTTGACCTCAACTGAAAATTCACAACCCCACTGGGTGAGCTGGGGCACTGGTGCTGGTGTTGGCCTTCTGCTGACCCAAAGCCACTTGCTTACCTTCAGGGAGAGATGTTTCTCATGCTGAAATTGTGTCCTCTTGTCACGTCAGGGTTTATATTCCACTTGAGAGGCAGCTTGTTTTATTTGTACACTCACACTCCCTTTACATCTGTGTGCCTATCTGTATGTGCATTAGCAAGTGGTGTTGGAACAGAAATGGTTCTGTAAGCTATGAGTATAGCCTTGTTCTCTTGGACCTGTGAGCTCTCTTTTACAGGCAAGACTAATCCTTCCTTAATTACATGCACTTTAATTTGCTCAGTCTAGTTTATACCTTTTGAGACATTTTCTAGCATGCAGAGCACTGGTTGGATTTTATCTCAGTAATAGCAATGGTGTTCACAAGCAATTGTGACACATGCATGTACAACTGCATCATACCCTCAGCTTTGCAGTTCAGCTTTTGCAGTATGGGCCTGGCATGGAGCTGGGATAGGCATGGTCACTTCTCCTACCAGACCTGCACTTGGAAATTACCTGGGGCATCTCTGTTTTGCCAGCATTGTTCAGTTTGAATGTTTTCATGTGTTGCCTTTTAATTTTTGTGTGTTGCTAACCCTCCTGACAATCATGCCAGTTGCCCCAAGTCCTATCAGGTTTAATGTTCTCCTCTTTGCTTGCCCTGAAATCTATCTTAGGTTTAGTCATGTCATACTTGAGGATATGCACATTAACCTTGGCCAGTGTTGGATTTGTTTACCTTCAACTGGTTGGCTTTTACCAGTAGCTAACCCCTCATTTTTCTGGTTTTCCCTCCAGTTTTAGGGAATTTGTTTTATGATATCTTACAGCATCCTGAGATTTCTGTTAAGATGAGCTCAGAAAAATAAGTTCCTGGTGCTCTGTGTAGACAGGAAAGCTCGGTAAAAGTCCTTGCAGAACAAGAGAAAACTACTCTTCTGTATGTCCTAATTAGATGTGGCTGCTCTCCCCACCTGGAAGTTGAAGCCAATAACAGGAGAGTAAAACACTAAAACCAAAACAAACTCAAACAACAGACCAGAAAACAACCCCACAAACAAAACCACAAAAAATGAACAAACACCGAAAC